CCCCAAAACCCCAAAACCCCAAAACCCCTTTAGGAATTATAAATATTGGTTGTTATAGTATTATTCATCGTCAGCTGAAGTGGCTGCTCCTGCTCCGTAGTTGGAGATTATTTTAGTCAGGTTGCTTAGGAGGGCGTTTGCGTCAAGATCGGATACTACTTGGGGGTATTTTGAGTTGATAAGGGAGATGAGGGATTGAGAAGTGTCTCTTAAGGAACTGTTTTGTTTAAATAGCCTTTTTAAGTGTTTTTCCTTTTTATCCTCTAAGAATTCCTTTCGGCCTAGCTCAGCTGTAAGTTTCTTTATCTTGTCATCCTGCTCAATGAGTAAGTGTTGGAACTGTGCTCTAGAAATTATTACTGAATGGCTTACCCGGTATTATTGTAGTCACGAAGTCTCTTAGCTTCTTTTTCATGAGTCTGTATTGCTTTCTTTAATGACTTATTTTAAATTAAGCAAATCTGAGTCATTTGCAATTCTCTTCCCTCTCTTCTTCTTTGCCCTTTCTTCAAGGAGGTCATTATAGAGAGCTCTGACCTGTACATAGTTGTCGAAGTGTCTTTTACTCTCTTCCATCAGGTCATTCAACCTTTTCTGGAGGTACTGGTTGTATGTAGTGGCATCAAAATCATATTTCTCAGTGATGTGCTAGAAAATTGAGGTGTTTGCTTACTTTCTGCTCAAGCTCATAGATATACTTGATCTTCTTATCCAACTCTTTGTTTAGCTGAAGCTCTTTTTCTTTGAACTTGTCACAATCTTTGCACCCGATTTCAATTTCACTGGCTTCATCTTCCTCAGGAGCATCTTCTTGGTTTTGTTGGAATGAGGTTTCCCCATGTTCTTTGATGGTATTCCTAAAGAAATTCTGGGTTGTATTCCTTTTGACCTCTTTGATCTTATTAGAGGCTTTGTCGATAGCTGTTTCGAGATCCTTATTCCTCGTATAAAGTTTCTTCATGATCATTTCTGAGACTATTAATCTCTCTTTTAGTTCCTCATTAGAAATATTATCTATATTAGAAAGAATATCTCCGTCTGTTAAGGCTTCGCCCTGGACAGATGATCGCTTGATCGAGTTTTCCTGTGTTGAAGGTCTGAACTTATTCCCAGTGGAGTACCCGATTGGTTTATAGTAATTAGAGCTATTTATTGAATTTGGATCTGGAATTCCTCCTGGAGCCATCGGGTTTGAAGCTGCTGAATACCCTTGCCCATAAAACGTTTGTCTAAGACGATTGTCTTTTTCCTTCTTAGCTTGCTCTATCTGTTTGTCAAACTCAGATTTGTCCTTATAGAAATTGTTCTGGTGTTCTGAAAGATCTAGAAGGGCTCTTTCAAGCTTGACATCTAGATCTTTCTTCTCTCCCGGCTTCGCCTCGGAGGAAGCTGTATCTGGAGCTTGAATATTATTTTGGTAAGAGTCATCATAAGCATGATCTCTATTATTAATGTTGCCTTTATAGGCGTTATTGACTAATTGGGAGTGGGTTTCTTTCTTGCCATCCATCATTCCTATAATTTCTTGGTATGATACACTAGAAATACCTTTTAAATTATTCTCATTTCCGAAGATCCTCTTGTGGAGTTTGCATAAGCCTTCTCGTGAGTTCGAGTGTTCTTGTCTCTCAAAAGAGGCTACTTTTTGAAGATTTGAATTATGTGATTTCTAAATTAGAAGATAAATACTTGAAATTTCGAGAATTTTTATAGAGACTTGGGAGCATACCTGATAGAAGTTACCAGATGGCTTCTTCTTGGACCTTTTAGATGTGATACTTTGAGGATAGGCTGGCTCACGCAGGTATTTTGAAAAGACTGATGAATATTTTGACTGCACATGCCCATACCTCCTCTTAGTTTTCAATTTCTTCTGCGGCCGTACTTGTGATCTAGGGATGGCAGAGTTGTATTGATGGATCCGAGGATTGTAGCTCTTTGGTTTCATAGGAGGCTTTGACATCCGCTTTTGATCTTTGGTTGATCTGTTACGCAGTCTTGGAATCACTGACATTTTTATAAATTTTTTCAAATTTTAAGTCAAGTTTGGGGTTTTGGGGTTTTGGGGTTTTGGGGTTTTGGGGTTTTGGGG